AAGCATCATTCCAAGAAAAATTAGGGTTTCAATTAAGTGGAGACAATAGCAGTTGTTGCACTGCAAGAAATAAAGAACAGCAATGTTTTCATCAAAAAAAGCCACACACATTATAACCTAGATGGGAAGAGCATAAATGTTTAGCTTGGCAAAAGGGATCATCAGTTTCTCAGATCAATATCTAAAAAGATGAGGTGAGGTAGGGGTAACAATATCTTGTTGGTTAATGGCTAATTAAAAGACAAGGCTTGGGAATGGGGAAGGAAAAAATACCGCAATTATACCTAGAGATACGATCAGTAGACCATTCCAGGATGGAGATAAGCACAAAGCCGGAAGACAAATTGTTATAAAGCCTAAGTAACAAAAAACACTAACAAGGTCTATTTCTCCAGTATAACCCAACAAAAAGCTATTGAAATAAGCAGGGCTTGACGAACGGTGGTGAAAGCCGCTCGCCAGCCCCGCACTGCGCATGCGTAAGACCCGCATTGCGCATGCGTGTGCCACAAATGAACGGGGCGCCCGGCTGAAATCTACACGCCATGGGCGAGTAGATTCAATACTTTGTCGAGCCCTGGAAATAAGTGAAGGAAGTTGCTGGTATAAAAACAATAAGCAACTCAAACTCTCTCAGTCATCATTTGTCAAGTTATAAATTGGGGTATGGTTTAGAGAAGCAATTTAAATGATAAGCCTGCTTTACAAAGCCATTTATTTTGACACCTCTACATGGAAAACATCAAAGGGTTAGTCGTGTTAGGCTAGGTCTACATTGGGAAGGTTTGGCGACAAACGTGCTGTCAACATGCAAAAGTCAATGAAAGTGAAAACAAGTCAAACTGGTTTTCCTGCCTCCTATTGAGGACATTTAGTGGCCACATTGCTAACTCCCCTGTCAACAGATAAGAACAAAGCAACGTGGGTAAGCATCCCACAATGCAGTGTTGTGGGAAGGCAGAGCTGATCCCTGTACTTCTTGGGATTCCTTCCTAGCTCTGTGAGTTCACCATGCTGAGGAATATCTAAGCAGCACAGCAGTCTCTCTAGCCCTCCCCCTATAGCAGCAGCAGTCTGCCTGCGACTGTTTCTCCAGTACAGGCAGAACAGGAGCACTCCAATGATTTGTTCTTTGTTCCCCAAACAGAGCAGCTCACTCAGCTCTCAGTTTCTGGAGCTTTAAAAGGAGGAGGGCTGCATGCCTGCAGGGTAGCAGAGATCACAAAACACTGAGCAGAGCCATCAGAGCACGCATTGTGGGATACTGGTGGAAGTCCGTTCTCTCGACAAAAACAAACAGTCCACACTGGCTCTTTGTCAACAATAAAGGCGAGGGGGAAAAGACAAAAGTCTCTTGCAGGGATGGAATTTTTTTGTCGTCAAAACTGGGTATTTTTCATGACAAAAGTTGCATTACAGTGTGTGCGCTCTCACTGTTCTGTCAACAAAAAGAAGTTTTTGGTGCCACTGTAGACAATACGTTAGTCTCCATACCTAGAGGTGTTTAAGTCTTGGCTTGACAAAGCCCTGGCCAGGTTGATTTAGTTGGAATTGGTCCTGCCTAGAGCAGGGGGCTGGACTTGATGACCTTCTGAGGTCTCTTCCAGTTCTATGATACTCTATGATACAAAAAGAAAGGAGTCCTGTAGCACCTTAAAGAGTAAGATGTGGGTTTTTGCCCAAATAAATCTGGTAAGTGCTACAGGACTCCTCGTTGTTTTTATAAAATGGAAGGTGACTCACTTCAGAGGAAGTGGACTAAGGAATGACAATATGGCTTCCTCTAAATTAAACTGCAGTTTAGACTCTGAGTTTCTGGACAAGACATTTAACTTCTGTACACCTACATTTTCCCCAAACATGAAAGAGAGCTAACAGATCTTTGTCTCTCCCATCTCCCTCTGAGGGAGGAAAGTTATATGAAGTAGTATCTTTATTGGACCAACCTCAGTTGGCAGGAGGGACAAACTTTGACCTTCACAGAGATCTTCCTCAGATCGAGACCTCAGCAGGTTATCAAATCCAACCCGCTGCTAAAAGCAGGCCCAGCCCCAACTAAATCATCCCAGGTAGGGCTGTGTCAAGCCGGGACTTAAAAGCGTCTAGGGATGGAGATTCCATCGCCTCCGTAGGTAACTAGGGTTGCCAGGTGTCCGGTATTCACCCAGACAGTCCGGTATTTTCGGCTCCCCTCCCCCCCCCGCGGCCCCCCCCCCCCCCCCACCCTCCAGTAAAAAAATTCAGAGAATACCGGACACCTAAAATGTCCAGTATCTTCTGATTCCCCCCCCAGCAAGGAGGTGAAAATGCCAGGTACTTGGCAACCCTACAAACACTCAGTGCCTGGCTTCCGCCCCTCTGGGCTCCCAACACCCCCAGCCCCCATGCTTACCTGTTCCCCAAGGCTGCCAGGCAAAAGACCTAAGGGAAGCAATGCTTTCCCCTGGGTCTTAGTGCTCAACCGCTCCTATCCCTGCACTCACTTTTAAAGGGTACATGCTGTTTTATTTATTTATTTGTTTTTGCTCAACAACTTTGGTCTCCTCCCTTTTTCCCTGCTCCCCCCTTCAACAGAATTTTTTCCTGTTTTTTTTGGGGGGGGGAGGGGGGTTGATATTTTTGTTTCAACCATCTGCCAACCCTATAGGTAACCCATTCCATTACTTCACCACCCTCATAGGGAAATAATTAAGATCTGGGGAAGTTAAAAAGAAGGTAGGTCACTTTGTTAAGCACAAGGGATTCACACATGCTGTCGGAGACCACTTAAAAATGAAGTAGGCAATAAAAAAAATTAGATTGTTAGGCATAAGGGGTTCACGCAGGGTGATGCAAGAACTAATGCTTGTAAAACCCTCCATAAAAGTGTTATTCTAATTTTTATTCTTCCTAAATTCTGTGCAGGAGGTTCACTGTGCTCACATCCCAATTAGCACAGAGATTTTAAGAAGGTGAGTCATCTAGAATTAGTAGCAAAAGTGAACTTTTTTTAAAAAAGGCCAGATTTTATCACTAAGACGAGGAGGAAAACGACTGACAGGAGATTTAAGGGCAAAGTAACAAAACAAAACAAAAATCCACCACCTTTACAATTCTAATCTGCCTGGGTGCAATTATAAGAGCATTGCATTAAAAACACCCCCAACAAGCAAAACCAGAGGAAACCTAGCAATGGGAAAGAAGAGTCTGCATAATTAGCGCAAGTTCTTGGATTTTAGAAAGTATCCCCTGTGGATGGACGAGATGGAGATTAGTTTACGGTGTAGCCCAGTTAACTGTGCCATCGGGACACATTGCGTTCACAGTGCCCAGAGGCCAACTGGGGACCTGAATGCCAGGAGCCTGCCTCCAGCTCTTCAAGACTGCTGACAACAGCAGATGAACTAAAATGCTCTGCAGTCTTGACAAAAACCCGGAGAAAAAAAAAAGCCTCTCTGTTCGTGGCATCTGGAGGAAAAGGCTCAGGGCCCTGGGGATCTGTTGTTACTGCTGCGAGTTGAGTGCCCTGAATGGGGACACACTGCGTACCTTTGAATCCAGTTCTCGACATGAGGGCCGGCACCTGGGTGAGGTGAAGCGCTCACCCTGCTCTCTCTGCACCCCCGAGACCACACAGTTGGGCCTGAGGTGGCAAAGGCTGCTCGGCCCTGCAGCATGAGGACAGTGACACCTGGGCAGGCTGAGCTTGGCCAGGCTGGGGGGGAAGTCCCCCAGGTTCTAGGACCTGCAAGTGGCCAAGACCTGCTCCTCGGACGGCAGAACCTGGGTGAGGTGAAGCGCTCACCCTGCTCTCTCTGCACCCCCGAGACCACACAGTTGGGCCTGAGGTGGCAAAGGCTGCTCGGCCCTGCAGCATGAGGACAGTGACACCTGGGCAGGCTGAGCTTGGCCAGGCTGGGGGGGAAGTCCCCCAGGTTCTAGGACCTGCAAGTGGCCAAGACCTGCTCCTCGGACGGCAGATACTCCCCCGCAGGGCCCCCCAGGGCTGAGTGAGGGGCAGCAGGTGCGGGCAAGAGATTAACAGAGCGGGGCATGTTCCTGTGCTTGAGGCCAAAGCCCCGGCAGCACTTGCAATGCGACCAAGAACACCGACCGCCGAGCAGCTCAGTGTCTGAGCCGCGACCGCCATCCTGCCTGCCGCGGTGGG